ACCCGGGTCTAAATGGGTCAACCCAAACCAAAGCCGTTTTTAAAAACAGGTCAAGTATTTCAACTCAGACCCAACCCACACATGTTACCAGGTTGACCCAACAAGACCCACGGACCCGTTTGATTCAAAAAATGAACGAGTGCACATCATGTGAGGCGGCAGGCGGTGCCGATGCAACTTGCGGGTGTGGGTTCGAGGTCGAGCGCAAATGGGCAGGACAAACTAGACAGGGTAAGAGAGGACATTTCACCTACGAAAGAGGCAAAGTGCAGAGGACCTCCTGCGCGTAGGGGTGTCAATTTCGGGTCACGGGTCGAACCCGAAACTGACTCGGGTTCAAACGGGTCGACCCTAACCCGACCCGGTTAGGTAAACGGGTCGGAAATGCCAACCCGGACCCGACCCGGCGGGTTGCCGGGTTGACCCGACACGACGCGGGAAACTGGGTTGAGTGGTCGCGCGGGGCAGGCTCGGTCGAGCGGAGCGGTCGCAGCGGGCGCGGGGTCGTCGCTGCGGAGCTATCGCAGCGGGCGCGCGAGGTCGTCCAAATAGCACCGGTTCTATTTGCACTGGTTTAAACCGATCCAAATAACTCCTAATTTCTAAACCTCCGCCAGATGCCCTAACTCCCAATATATGCGCGCGAACTGTTTCGAGCTTCGTCTCCGGCCGATCCCACTTCCTTCCTGCACGCAACTCAACCGGAGCACTCGAGGCTTCGTCTCCGATCCTTCTTCCTTCCTGTGCGCGGCTCAAGCGGAGAGACGGCGTGTCGCACTGCACATACCGCTCGCATTTTGCAAGGTATTTTCCTCACGCGACGACACATCCGACTGGCTTCATCGTGAGTCTCCTTCTTCTTCCTCTCCATCTCTTCTTCTCATTCTTCTACTTGTTTTGTTAATGTAAATCGAGCTCATTATTTTCAAAAAATTAATTCGACGCTCATTATTTTTCCGTCCGCCATTGGTGATGCTTTTGTAACGAGTTTTGGTATTTTAGTTATAACAAATTTCAGTCAGAGCGTGGCAAAGATCGATGGCCATGAAATTTGAGAGCAAAAAGTTTTATTCGTCATAGAGTTTTTTTCTTTTAGAGAACCAACATGCAAGGCATTTTGATTTTGCATGGTAAGGGAAGAAGTCAAAGCAATGATAGATGAAAATCTCTTTTAGCAATTCGATTGTGTTCGGATAACAAGATATTGACAGAGGTCTTGGATAAAAAATCTTTATAGAAACAACCACACATGAGTGGGTTGTGGCTCAAGCTTGAGTCCTTATAGTTGATCAAAAGTCTTTCTAACATACTCCATCAAAAGAAAAAAAAGTATATTTCTTCACATGCAGAAACATACACCTATTATCAATATTCATTATCACATTTAATTCAATTGTTGTTGATTTAAGAAATACCGATGTAATTGTTTATTATTATGATCAAGCTCTATTATTGTTGTGCTCTTAAAAAATTAAATTTTAAGGGAGAGGAGGCCGACTTTGGGCATTAATTTGAATGGAGAAAGGTGCCTTGAATTTTGGAAGTGGTTCCAATCAAACATTGTTTTTGCGGAATATGCCTTGAATTGTGTACTTTGTACTTTAATTTAACCTTGAAAAGTGGAGGAAGGCCAGCCACTTTGAATTTTGAATGTGATAGGATTTGGCCAAATGAATCTTAGATGAGAATGGTTCAATCAATTATATTCCAACCACGTGCCTAACTTACTTTTGAGCTTTAACCATCTTTCAAGTATTTGAAATTTAACCAGCTTATGAATTAACTTTGAACCAACTTCTCATACTTCTGAAATTTTAAAACTTTGAACCACGTGTCTAACCTACTTTTGTGCAAATTGTTTTGAAATGCATCTTGGTATGTAATTCTACTTTTTGGGATGTTGCTTAAAATTTTGGTATTATAGATCACCAAATATGAATGATGAATGATCATTTCTTTTTGAGATTATCTAGTATTATTTTTATTTCTTAATTGGTGGCCATTTCATGGTTATTTTAGGTACTTTTCATATCTCTTATATATGTTTGTGGGCTCGGGAGTTTGCGGATTGAATACATCAAGCGGTATATAGAAAAAGATAAACTAGTTTTAGTAAAGCAAGGCTAATGCAGGGATAGTACTATGTAATGCAGAAAATAGCAAAATGCAGCAGTAAAAAGGAAGTGGAAATCAGAGTAGTGGCGTTCCTCCTAAGTTGGATGTTCCGCCGGCTCACTATACCAGGATGCCACCTGCATCAGCCCTCCCCCGCTTCGGAAGAGCTCGACTCCGACGAGCTTTCAATAAGTTGAACATCATCGGGTGGGTGATACTTATAGATATCGGCCACGTTAAATGTGGGCGAAGTGAGGATCTCAGGTGGGAGATCAATGACATAAGCGTTGTCATTAATTTTGTGGCGAATCTGAAATGGTCCCAACTTTCTGGGGCTGAGCTTAGAATAACTGCCATGCGGAAATCGCTCTCGGCGCATTCGGATCATGACCAATTCCCCCGGGCTGAAGCTTTTGAAACGTCGATGAGCATCAGCCGCTAATTTGTATTTGGCATTTGACTCTTCTAGCATGCCCTTTACTGTTTGAATAGTCTCCGCCGCTTGAGAGATGGTCTTGTTGACGCCAACTTTATTGCATTTGGGTAAGATAACCAAATCGACTAAATGATTAGGGGGTTTCGTATACACCACCTGAAAAGGACTGGTTTTTGTCGATCGATTCGCCAAGGAGTTATAAGCAAATTCTGCGTGACTGAGTAGTTCCTCCCACTTCCTCGGGTTGGCTTGTACCAAACAACGGAGCATGTTCCCAAGCGTTCTATTGACGACTTCAGTCTGACCATCCGTTTGAGGATGGTACGCGGAGCTCAACTTGAGGTCGGTCTTCAAGCATCTCCACAACTCTCGCCAGAAATGACTGACGAACTTGACGTCGCGATCCGAAGTTAGACTCCGGGGAAGACCATGCAACCTGACAATTTCCTTAAAAAAAAGGTGTGCAATGTTGACAGCATCAAACGTTTTCTTGCACGAAACGAAATGTGCCATTTTTGAGAATCGGTCGACCACAACCATAATCGAATCCGATCCTCGTTTAGTTCGTGGCAGCCCCAGAACAAAGTCGAGAGATAAGTCTTCCCATATAGAGTTAGGCACGGGGAGAGGTAAATATAATCCGGTATTTTGAGACGTACCTTTGTAACGTTGGCAGACTGTACATCTTTCTACCAATCTGGCAACATCTCGCCGTAAACGCGGCCAAAAGAACCGGGATTGCAATAGTTCCAGCGTTCGGTCTCTACCAGCATGAGCCGCTAACCCCCCACCGTGCATTTCTTTAATTAATTGGGGCCTCCATGATGAATCAGGAACACAGAGGGTATTCCCTTTGAATAGAAAACCTTGTTGTAGAGAATAGTCTTGCTGTGGTCGGCCTTGAGTGCACTCGGTCCAAATTTTTGAGAAGTCTTTGTCAGTGCTGTACAGCTCTTTTAATTCCTGCAGCCCGACGATCTCCGTTTGTAAATGTGTGAGCAAAGCGGCTCGCCGACTAAGGGCGTCGGCGACGCGATTAGTTTTCCCTGCCTTGTGCTTGATAACAAAGCTGAATCTCTGGAAGAATACGATCCAACGAGCGTGCATACGACTGATGTTCTTTTGGTTGTTAATATATTGAAGGGCTTGATTGTCACTACATAAGACAAAGTCCTTATGTAGCAAGTAGTGCTCCCATTGTTTGAGTGCTCGAACAACTGCGTACAGCTCCTGTTCATACGCCGACCACTTCTGTCGGGCGGAGCTCAGTTTCTCACTGAAATATTCAATGGGTTTGCCGTCCTGAGATAAAACAGCCCCAATCCCAATGGCTGATGCATCTGTATCTACTTGAAATGGCTTATCAAAATCTGGGAATGCTAATAGCGGTGCTGAGCAGAGGGCTGTCTTAATTTTATCAAAACTTCTTTGTTGTGTTGGAGTCCAGGCAAATGTCGGAGACTTCAAACAATTAGTTATAGGGGCTACGATGCTGCTAAAGCCCTTAATGAACCGCCGATAGTAGTTGGCTAAACCATGGAAGCTCCTCACATCAGTTAAGGATTTCGGAATGGGCCAATCACGGATGGCCGATATCTTCTCGGGCGAGGTCATAACACCTGCTGGGGTCAATACAAAACCCAAAAACTGCACCCTCTCAACAGCAAAATCACACTTGGATAAGTTGAGGAATAATTGCTGTTCACGCAAGGTTTCCAATATTGCCCGGAGATGCCCCATGTGCAATTCCAAAGATTTGCTAAAAATTAAAATGTCGTCAAAGTAAACCAAACAAAATTTACCCAAGAAAGCCTTCAAGACCTCATGCATAAGCCTCATGAACGTGGAGGGAGCATTGCAAAGTCCGAACGGCATGACTTTCCACTCATACAACCCGTCGATCGTCTTGAAAGCCGTCTTCCATTCGTCGCCGGACCGTATGCGTATTTGGTGATATCCGCTCCTCAAATCTAGTTTGGAGAAAATGGCAGCGCCGGAAAGTTTGTCCAGGAGATCCGAGATCCGCGGTATAGGAAACCGGTACTTAATGGTAATGCGATTGATCGCTCGACTGTCAATGCACATGCGCCATTGACCATCTTTCTTTGGAACTATCAAGGCAGGGACCGCGCATGGACTCATGCTCGGTTGAATGAACTGTTTGTCTAGCAATTCCTGTACAATCTTTTGCAAGATGCTGTGTTCACGCGGGCTCATTCGGTAATGTGGCAAATTGGGTAGTATAGCACCGGGAAGCAAGTCGATCTGGTGTTGAATAACTCGGGTCGGTGGCAAGGTCGAAGGGAGATCTGTGGCAGTAATGTCCTGGAAAGAGTTGATTAAATCTTGAATTTCTGGATGCTGGGATGGTGTTGACGACTTGGCCATATCGGAGGCCACCAAGGCATACACAGGACAGCCATCACCCTTGAGTTGTAACAACTCTCGTTCAGCTATATATGATGCAAGACATTGTGAGATTGACGGGGGAGGAGCTTTGAACGGACCCAACTGGCATTAGTTTCAATTTCTTCCCTTTGACCTCAACGGTATATGTATTTGCCCGGCCATCATGAACGGCACCCGCATCATACTGCCAAGGTCTGCCAAGGATAAGGTGACACACGTCCATATCAAGGACATCACAGGTAACTTGACAGATATATCTTTTACCAATAGAGAAAGTGATTTTGCATAGGTCAGAGACAAGGAAGTCGACCCCTTTTTTTACCCAACTTATTTTAAAAGGATTTGGATTCCGGGTGGTTTTGATTTGCAAGGCTTGCACCGCCGCCTTGGATATGATATTCTCCGTGCATCCACTATCTATCACCAATTCACACACCTTATCGTTAATAGTGCACTTGGTACGGAATAACTTGTGTCGCTGTGTGTCGACAGGTGTCCTAGGTGCCAGTAACATCTTCTCCATGACACCCAATATAGCTTCGCCGTCGTCAGCTAAGACTTCTTCTACTTCATCTTCATAATCATCTTGAAGGCCAGATTGTTCCGCATCTTCTTCTCCTTCTACCAGCTGCACCTGGTGACGCATCGGGCACTCGTTCGATTTGTGGCCAGGTTGTAGACACCTAAAACATTTTATTGCAGTGGGCTTGGCATACGGGTTTTCACGTCCAGGGGCTCGGGCTCTAGCTACTCCCTTGACTTCTGTAGCTGCATTGGTTGGTGCCGAAGGCCCCTCTGGCAATTTGGTGGCCGGTGTTACAACCTTGGACGAGCCAATATTTCCCTCCGCGAGCTGTCTGCGATTACCCATTGGTCGATAGTGCCGTTGAAGCTGGTTTTCTGCTTTGAGTGCGAAGTTCACCGCCTGGGAGAGCGACCAAATGGAATTGAGTTCGAGTTTGTCCTGAAGGCTATCTTTCAAGCCTCCAATGTAGCGTGCCACCAATTGATTTTCGGATTCCAACAAATTATTCCGGGCGCTCAATCTATAGAATTCTTCCGTGTACTCGTGGACTGGACGTGAACCTTGCCTACATTGCTGGTATTGCAAATACAGTAACTGCTCAAAATCTGTAGGCAGGAAATGCCGTCTCATGAGTTGTTTCAGTCTTCCCCAGCTTCGGATCGGAGCTTTACCTTCGCGCTGCCGATTTTGTATGAGTTGCAACCACCAAGCACTGGCCCCTCCCTTGAGGCGGCAAGCCACATACTTGACTTGTTTCTCCGGACTGACCTCCATGTAGTCAAAAAAATTTTCCACTGCACCTTCCCAATCTAAATAATCCTCAATGTGAAGCCTGCCATCAAAAAACGGGATATCCATTTTAATACGGAACCCATCGGTTTCAATTCGTTGCTGCCTGTGTCTTCTTCTTCCGGTCGGATGTGGAAGAAATATTTCGCCGTCTGAATCTGATTGTTCCTGCCTGGGAAGAACGTCTTCTTCAGAATCGGAATATTCCGGTATCATCACCGGAGCTCTCCTCTGCATAGGACCCAATCTGGTAGGTGGCCTTACCTCCGGTATGGTTGCCGGAGCAAACGGTCGAGCTGCTGGATCCGTAGCGACTCTTATTTGACGAAGCTCATTTCGCATTTCCTCTGCGAATCGACCAAAGGTCGTCATCAACTCCTCAAGTTGCTTCGAGGTCTGCCGGTGATTTTCCCAAAGTGCTTCAAGACTCCGATCGCCGTCGGGTCGGGGGTGGCTGCTGCCTTCCGCCATTCGCTAGAATAGCCTAGCTCTGATACCAAAACTATGGTGCAGCAGCTAAGAAGGTGATCTCCACAAGAAC